GCGCGGGGAAAGCCGAGGCAGCGCGGCTGAGCTGCGATGACCTATATTAATGCCGGCGTGAGCGTGCCAGGCTTCGGGGGCGCCGCAGAGGGGTTCGGGACCCGCCGCCCGCTCGCCAGCCAGCCGCAGCTCTCTGCCTTTCCGCTTTTAGCTGCTCGAAAGGCTCTGTCAATAATACATTTCTGCCATTGAATATTTTATTGATGATTTGACTTTTGCTGCTTGCAATTCCCATTTCAAGGCTGCGTGATTGTTCCTAATTAAAATTTTATGCCCTGGGAGAAGCCTTCTTGCTGCAGTGGAGATGATGCTGTCCTTTTCTAGGCCACTACAGAGCAGTAGGAAGGAATTACTCATTGTTACGAGATTAAAACAAAGCCAACAAAAATTTTTCTTAAAACAAAACCCCAGCGTACGAGGCGTACTAGCCGCGGAACAACCGAGCGGTGAGCGAGGCACCGATCCAAGCGTATAGGGTGGCCTGGGTCCCCCGGCTCGTTGCGCGGGGGTTTATTGAGGCACAAGATTTCCCTGCTCAAGGCCCTCGCTAGCGTGCTGCGGTACGTGGCAGCCCGGACGGGCAGCTCCGTTTGAGCAGCTGTCAGCTTCCCACATCGCTGGCCTCCCCAGTGGTGTTTTTTTTTCTTTACTAATAATAATACATGAACAAAAAGCACTTCCAGCTTCTCGGCCGTCTACCCTGTACTGCGTCCGCTTGTTATGCCAGGCGCCCTCCCCCTGCACTCTCTGCTGCTGCTGCTGCTTAGGGTACCAACACTGCACTGGGCCGGTATGGTTTCTCAAGGGTAACACAGCCGCAGATGCCTGAAACGCTTCCTATTAGTAGTCATGTTTGTGTCTGTTGTTTGTTATTTGGGTGATGTTTTGTTTTGTTTTTTAATTTAATCTGGAGTGCTAGAAGCGTTTATGCTTGCTCCCAGCCCCTGGCTTTGGCAAGCAGCTTTAAAGCACACGCTTCAGCACCAGTTACATAAGAAAAGGTGTGAACAGCTAGAGGAGACAATGCCCGTTGGTCTCCGAGTGATGTACAGACGCTCTGCTTTATCGCTCCTGGGTGCGCAAATCCTAGAGGGGCAGCTCACTGCAGCTGGGGAAGAGACGACGTTCGACTCGGCACGTGTGCGCATCTGCATGTCCGTGCAAGGAAGCATTGTCTACCCTGAGAATGGTGATTTTTCCTTTCTACGTCTCTCCCTCCCATCACGGTGAAGACCAAAAACATTCTACCTTGCCCTGGAAAAAAAAATCATAAAGCACTAGAGGAGGTCGGGAAATTTTGTTTATGGATGAGCAAGTTTCTTTCCCAATGGAACCTCCTGCCAGCAAATTTTTTTTTTTAAAGATGTATTATATAAGTCCCTGCTTGCATTTAACTGACTTCCTCTGACTCTTGAACAATTTATGTACTCCTATTCCCAAGAGACTAGCTTTCTCCTTCAGCAAGGCGCACAGCTTAGGATTTGCAATTGGCAGCCGTTATAAACGGAACGAGGTATGCGTTTCCTAGTGCAACACGTAAAGTGTTAAGCCTGCTCGCTTCCTCTGCGAAGCCCTGAAATAAAAGAACAAAATCTTCTTGAGAGCACAGAGACTCCTTTCAGCCTAACTGGCCTGACTTGCAGCATCTTCCCCTCCTACAAGGCACCCCTCTGCCTCGCCTCAAAAACTTACAGCACCAATTCTCAGCAAGAGCTTTTAGCACCCGCGTACTCGTCACAAAGTAGGTATCAGCTTACAGAATCTGTTAATAAGCTACTGAAAAAGCTGAACACTTAAACGAAGGGGCATCTTTGCACTGGTGTATTTTCTCATCTCTTGGGAGCAGAGCGGCTACAGTTCAGCATTTAGCAAGGGCTTTTCTGCTAGCCCTAGGGCAGGGGAGCAACTGCTGTGCACAGCAGCACTGCTGTGTCAGCTGGAGAGAGGACCAGGTCACGCAGTTACTGTCCACCCTCCTTTTCAAGCCACCCTTGACCGGCTCTAGAGACAAAAGAAGAGATGGCATATACACTGTGCGCCGTACACATCAACAACATCACTGAGAAGGTACAGCCTTCCTCTTCAGCTGGTTGGGGTAACTTGAGCACACCTTATGGACCTGCCCAGCTCTTTGCTGAACTCCGAATTAGAGTAATGAACACCCAAACACTGGTTTTGCAGTATTTATTGAAGATTTCAGGTGACAGCACAGCAGGTTAGTCT